TCCCTACAGAACTAAGTTGAAAGAAGGAGCTACAGAAAAGAAACTAACATCACTATGCATACCAGCCCCTGAATACGTAACACCTTCTTGCAAATTAAGGAGGTATTAGAAAATATAGACTGTCAATAGATGTTTGTTCAATGAATGACCTTTAAGTTTTTTAAATAAGAGCCAGCTGCATGTTATTCTGTAACACCAACAAAAACAAGACCAACTCATGTCTGCTGAAGGATTAGAGACCATGTGATGTAAGTCAAACCCACTCTGGGCACATTTGACTCCGTGTGACATTCCCAAAAGGCCGGAGATAGGACATTTCCCAAGAAGTTTCCTGTCAACACAGAGAGGCAGTCAGGTATAGAGGTAGGCACATTGTCTCTAAAATCAGAACATCAGGGTTTATCGTATCCAGATGTTCACAGTAACATTATTTTTCATGGTTGAATAGGGGAAACAATCCAAAGTTCCTCCAACTGACGAATGCATAAACAAAATGTGGTAAATCCATACAATGGAATATTCAGTCATAAAGAGGAATGAAATACAGATAAGCCATGAAATTAAGTGAAAGAAGCCAGTCATAAAGGCTTCCATTTCCATGAAATGCTCAGAATAGGCAAATCCATACAGACAGAAAATAAATTAATGCTGAGGGCTAGGAGAAAGGGGAAAAATGAGGAGTGACTGCCAGTGGGCATGGGGTTTCTTTTTGGAGTGAGGAAAATGATCTGGAATTAAGATATAGGTGATAGTTGATTACATCTGAGAACACATGGAAAACCACTGAATTTTATGATACATGAATTACGTATCAATTTTTAAATTATATTTATTTATTTATTTATTGAGACAAGGTCTTAGTCTACCACCCAGGCTGGAGTGCAGTGGAATGATCATGGCTCACTGCAGCCTTGATCTCCCAGGCACAGGTGATCCTCTCAACTCAGCCTCCTGAGTAGCCGGGACACCACAGCATGTGCCACCAGGCGTTGTCCAGGCTGGTCTCAAACTCCTGGGCTTAAGTGATCTTCCTGCCTTGGCTTCCTAAGTGCTGAAGTGCTGAGATTACATGTGTGAGCCACCACACTTAGCCTTCTTTTTTTTTTTTTTTTTTTTTTTTTTACAAAGAATGTATGGGTTTGAATCCTGGCTCCCCCACTTACTTGAGACATAACCTTGGGAAAGTCACTCAGCCCCTCTGTGCCTCAGTTTCATCATCTGCAAAATAAGTCTACCAATAATGCCAACCTGCATGTAAGTACTTAGGGTAGCACCTGGTTCATGGTAAGCCTCCAATTTATATTAGCTTTTATTATATTTAATTTGCAAATTCTCCCTAAGGGGACAATCCACTCATCTGAAAGTTAAATCATTCATGGGAAACTTGCATCAAGAAGACAATATTGATATCTCGCCATGCTGTTTTAAAGAGAATCTGGATGTGTGGTTAAGATTATTAATCTTGTGGAGATTGGAAATAATTGTACTGGCAAATGCATATCAACCAACTAATTATGGCTATTGTTGATTCATTGCCACATACCAGGTATCTGCATGCATTACCATATTTACTCTAGATAACACTGAGTTTTTGCCCAAGTTTATGCAAGTGTCACAGCTGAAGTACTTATGAAATCAGGCTTGGATGGCTCCAGGGTCCATGTGCTCAAATACTACATTGAATCACCTCCTAAAGTCCTCTAGTGTTGAAACCAAAACTTGGGGTACAACTTCCCTGCCTTGCCAATTAATTACTGACAGCTTCCCTGCATTAGTCAGCCAGTGGGATGCCCTCTCTTGTTGGCCCCTCTGGGGCAGGAATCATGCAGAAAAAGTGACAGAAAGGAAAGACATAGGTGGGGAAGGAGATAAAAAGGAGAAATAAAATAGGGAGGGAAAAGTAACAGAGGAGGTGGAAAGAGGAGAGTTGGAGTGTTGCACAAAATAAAGCCAGTGAGGCTAGGGAAGGCAAGATTATGGGTGACCTTCATAGCTGGTGAGAGGGTGCAGGCCAGAGGGCACCACAGGAATATCCTGAGTGGGCCAAAGAGGTGGTGTATCATGTTTGATATCACATTATCAAGATAGATTGAAGGAGCGAGAGACAGTCAAGGAAAGCAGCAGTAATTCACACTTGACCTCTGACACCAGGGATTTCAGAAAGCCACAGAATGGTTAGGCCCTAACACAGGTGGAGGCTCCACCTGGGCTCACCTGTTCAGAAAGTTTCATAGGAAGGGAAAAAAAGGATGTTTCATGGGAGAGCCTCCATCTCAAGCATGCACGTGTTTATCTGCACACCTTAATAAGGGCGCCTACATAGGTTGTCTTCTCATTCTCTTGATAGTGTCCTTTAACATACAAAAGCTTTTCTGTAAAAGCATTTTGATAAAGTCAAATCTCTCTCTTTTTTTTTTTCTTGTTTTAGATCCTTGTACTTTTGGTACAAGAAAAAAACATCTCAGAAACCATTTCCAAATCCAAGGTCATGAATATTTTCCCCAATGTTTTTTTCCTAAGAGTTTTATAGTGTTAGATTTTCTATTTAGGTCTTTGATCCATTTCAAGTAAACTTTTGTATATGATACGAGGTAAGGGCGCAGCTTCATTCTCTTGCACTTGGATATGCAGTTGTCCCAGCATCCTCTGTTGAAGACACTATTCTTTGCCATTTCAGTGGTCTTGGCTCCACGGTAAAAATCAAGGCAAAGGATGTACGGGATTATTTCTGGATTCTAATTCTATTCCATTGATCTACACGTAAAAGACTTTTTTTGAGACAATCAGGAGAAATTTAATTATGGATTGAAAATGAGATAATATTAAAGAATTACTGATTGTCTTAGGTATTGCGGCTATGAAACACATTTTTCTTATTTTTTATATTTAGTGAAGTATTTCATCATGAGACAACATCCCAAGATTTTCTTTAAAAAAAAAAAAAAACAAAAACTGGTCAAAAATTTTCTTTAAAATGAAAGAAAAAACAGAGAAAGATGAAGAAGTACAGCAAGATACTGAAAGTTATTTAACCTGAAAATGGCTATATGGGTACACATTACGCTACAGTCTCTCCTTGGTATATGTTTAAAAAATTTGATAATAAAAAGTTGAAATAATCTTGGAGGGAGGCCTTGTGCTTCCCCACTAACAGTCAAATTTGAATTTGGATCAAAAACAGAATATGAGAGCAATGAGGAAAGAACAGGTCTTTTCTTGCTGTAGCCACACCCAGCCCCAGTTCTCCAGAGCTGCTCTGGACCTAGATGGTGTAGACTGAGCCTGAATTCTTTACAGCTGGGCTCAATCATCAGTTCTGCAGGAATTCACCAAAATATCAAGAAAAGTGGGCGTGATTTTCTTTTTTGCTCATTAAAACCATTTTAAGGCCAGGCATGGTGGCTCATGCCTATCATCTCAACACTTTGAAAGGCTGAGGTGGGGCAGATCCCTTGAGGTCAGGAGTCGGGGACCAGCCTGGCAACATGGTGAAGAATTGTTTTAATATTCTCCTGAGTGATGATCTACCATCCTTGTTAAAGTATTTAATTACATCACTCAATAAGATTTTGTTATAGGAAAACTTCCAGAAAAAAATCTCCTATGTAGGGCCTAAGACACTGCACACAAACACACCTGCACATACAGAAATATACATGCACAACCACCACACACATACATTCTATCATCAAGCAATGCTTTTTCTTCATCAGACAGATGAAATGCAGACTATGAATCCTGTTGTCCAGCAAGGTACAAAAGAACTGTATGCTTTTCCAAGACACACCCTGCCCATATGAAACAAGGAAGGAACACTATGCAGTGTCCATAGGTCTTTCAATGACAATTCACTTTTGTGGTTGAGTCATATCCAAGGCTCTTTGCCAAAGGGCCCACTTTATGATCTGAATTCTTCTTTGATAATTATGTTTGCTTTATATTTATAAATAGGTACATTAATACATAACCTTCCACATCTATAAATCCTATCTTATATATATTCCTTAAAGGTATGTAAATGTATATACTTTATACACCATTGAAGATATACGCATAATCAAAATACATAAAACTATATACATAGCTCAGTGTTTCATATTTTACAGCTCTCTCTATCAGATACCATTAAAAGTGGTATAAAATCATATATAGATTTCTGTATCTCTAAAGCCCTTTGAGTGACCCTTTGAGCCACAACGAACTCAGTGTGGGTTCAGAAATTGGCTGGGCACACCCTTGGCTAGATGGGGAGGCTGCAGGCAATACCTGAGTGGTGGCTGATGCTGTAATTGATGGAGGGTAAGAAGGGGAGAGACACTTTGACAAGTCTATCGTCTCAGCGTCCTACAACTTGCATCTCCTTGCCTGCCTGGTCTTGCCAAGAGCTGAAAGTCATGTTTCATTTGAAAGGCCTACAACGGTAGTCTTCCTGCTTTTTGGAAAAAGCATTAGTTCACTTTCCCATGAGCTGGCCAAACAGTCTCTCTTTCACCAAACATCTGTCAATATGTGAGAGAATATGACTGTGTTACAAAGTCTGCTGAACCTTATAAGAAGCCAGAACAATAGATAAAAAAGTTTACTCCATCCTTAATAAAATAATATACTGAGATTAGACACCATGTGTTTCACCTGGATTTAGCAACTATGCATTTGCCAAGAATCTTACTCTTGTATTTGTCAGGCCTTTTTCAATTGCAAGTGACCGAATCCTACTTAAAACTGGCTAGACCAAAAATATTACCGAACAATATTTTGGAACTATATGCTCCACCAAAATAAGTGGTATATATAGCAGGGGAGGGAATAATTTGCAGATGATATTGCATACTTAATATATCTTCCATACTAATACGAGAGGTTAGTAATATGGCTACATACAAGATTAATGTGTAAAACTGAAAGCAGTACATTAGTTACGCATAGTCAATTCAAAAGAGAAACAGAAAAATTGTCCTGCGCATAATGGTTTCAAAAATAATACAATGCAGAAGAATATTAATAAGAAAAATAAAATAATAATGTGCAAAATTTTATTTATGGACATAAAACAAAATCTGAATAAATAATGAGGGATGCAAATTTTTCAGTAGGAAGGTGTAATAGCAAAAGGATGCCAATCTTACTCATTTAATGAAAGCCAAGCAACCATACTCATAGGATGATACCCTACTGAGATAAAAGCAAAAATATGGAAACATATGAATGCAAAGAAAGTATACAAGAATGTTTATTATTGTTCATAAACCCAAAAAGTAAAAAACACATAAATCTCTGTCAATATTAATTGGTTGGAAAACTGCATTGCATCCAAAGTAAAGATATTATGTAATTATTAAAAGAACATGTCAAATCTGTATGCACTGACCTATAAAGATATCTTTAATTTATTGCCAAGTGAAAAATCTAATATAAAAAACACAGCCAGCATATTAGATTTTATATTAATAAAAGTGAGAATTTACCCTAAATATATGCATATACATACTATAATTTCAAAAAAGTTGAAAAGAATGCACACAAAACTGCTAAGAATATTTTCCTCTGGGAGTAGTATAGAATTGGCAAAGAAGGAAAGTTTCATTTCTTACTGTGGTTTTTGATATTTTTCCAAAATGCATTTAGATTGCAGCCTAGATATGATCTACAATTATATCAATTTTATACCCTTACATATCAACCAGAGCTGCTTTATACAATTTGCTACCCAATAATTAAGTGAATGGTGTACAAAATAATTCCTTAAACCAGAAAGAAATTCCAAATGGGACAAATGCAAATGACAACTTATAGTTCAGTAAGAAATCTCCCTTTAATGTCCAAAGCAAGATTATTCTTAATGTGCTAAAAGAGAGATGACTTACCACAGACAATGGTTTTCCCTGTTTGCAGTTGATACCACCAATGAAGACCATGTTGGGCATCACAGGTTTGGGATAGTCGAAAACAAAGTCCGTTCGCAACAGCCAAATTGATGTGTGGCTGTAGAGATCATATGCCGTGACAGGTGTCTGGAGAATTTCAGAGGCTATTTCTAAGACATCTTTGAAAAAATACGGGCAAAATAAATGTTCCTCTAAGTGCACGATGTGGTTCCGTACTCTCTCCTTGAAAGTCATGGCATCTGAGAACGCTAAGAGACTCTGGGGACATAGGAAAGAGGAGCAGGGCACTGTGCACCTTCTTCAAGATAATGGCAAATTATTCCCCTGGTAAAGACCACAGAGGGAAGGGAGAAATATTTGGCAATAATTAAGCCACAGGCATCAAAAGGATCCAGAAACACCGCATCAAAAGAACTCTCCTTTAAGTATTCTACTAATTTTTTGTCCTTAAACAAACTCTTACAATGTGAAAAAAATAAGTCAAAAATACCACTGGATGAACTTGTTAATAGAGAAAATGGACTTTGTAGCGGTGCTTTCCATTGAGCATTGGCAAAAACCATGAACTCCCGATCCAGATCCTCCAGAGTGTATGAGGTTGAGTAAGTCTTCACTGTGCAATTCAGTGAGCTTCCCAGTTGCCAACTTACCTCTGGCATAACTAAAACCACCTCATGCCCCCTGAGGATAAGTTTCTCTACCACTGACCTCATGGTGAACCAGTGGCTCCCATCCATGGGCACTACCAGCAGCTTCCCTGCCTGGGTAAAGCCACAGGTCAGCAGCAGACACATACATAGGGGAAGGGAACAAGTCCACTCTGCAGAAGCCATCAGAGAACTGCAGCCTAGAGCAAGTCAGCAGCTGGGATTCTAAGCTCCTGTAATACAGTAAGCGGAAGAAGTACAGATAGAACCTGACCCCACAAGAAGGCGTGTACTCACCCATTCATTAAAAAAAAAAAAGTCATACTCACTGCCAATGATTTACTCATAATAACATGTAAGTAGCCTTTGCCCAGATAACTACTTGTATGTTTTCTAGAAAAGAGTAGCTCATCATCTTTGCCTTGGGGCAGATCATGCCCAATGCTGCAAGGTGAGTTTAGAAACAAAATTATTAAGCAATGCTTTTGGCCTTGATGACACTGAAAGATAAAAAGGAAAGCAAATTTGAATTAAGCTAATAATTTTGGAATTTGTCACAAAGCAAAATTTGCAAAGCTTACAGACAATTTTTACTTTGTCCTCTGCCCAGAAAGCAATGGGCATCTCATGTCTGACGGAAAGAGAGCAAGGCTCTTTGCACTGACCTCCTAACTGGGAGGAAACTGTGGCTCACCTGTGTCTCTGCAATACAGAGCTCACTTGTGCATTGCACAGACGCAGGTGAGCCACAATTGTGACACAGATGAGCCACAAGTGCCACTTGTCTTTTTTCGTTTCCAAACTTTCTGAGGCCTCTGAAATGCTGTAAGGAGACTGACAACCTTGTCTCCACAGATCCTTCCAGGGATTTGATGGAATGTGACTGTCACCTGTTTTAAATGGCTTTCCTCAGATATATTGCCTGCAGTGGTGAGTCACCGCCCTATGCTGCCCAAGCACTCTGCTGAGCTGCCTCCCTCTGCCCAATCTGCTTCCACATTCTGAACAGAGCTATCGGCTTCTGCTGTGGGCCCACCCCAATCACTTTGGTGCCCATCATTAGGAATCTATGTATTATTCTCCTCCATTCTACTAAGCACCCCTTGTGGATAAGATTACATCTTCTTCCTGTTTTCATCCTCCTTCCTCAGCAGCCATACTTTGCCTTGCACAGAAGAAGTCCATGGGAGTTCTTGTTGCATTGGACTGAATTCCATTATGCAGATTTTTATGGGTAACCTCAGTGGTGTGTGTCAGGTAACACCCCGAGGAGCATTTAGTGAGAGATTTGATAGCCAACCTCAGGGTATAATCCTTGTAGGAGCACAAGATGGCTCCTTCCAGGAGACCCTACCTGATACTAGGCATCTGCTTAGTCATACTACTTGCTCCCAAAGCCAGCATCTCTAATTCAGTCTCTCAATCAGAGGTCATAAGGAACTTTAGAACTCATTACACACAGTTTTCTATGGAAAGGATTGCCAATACTATGGAAGAGAATCTGGATAGAGAATGTCATGAAAGTCCAGAATAATGACACCACTGAAGATGCCATTTCAAGCAATTCTCCTGCCTCAGCCTCCCAAGTAGCTGGGACTACAGGCATGCACCACCACACCCCGCTAATTTTTTTGTATTTTTAGTAGAGATGGAGTTTCACCATGTTGGTCAGGATGGTCTGGATCTCTTGACCTTGTGATTTCTCCACTTCGGCCTCCCAAAGTTCTGGGGTCGGTAAAACAATTTTTTTTTTTTTTTGCATATATCCAGTAATGGGATTGCTGGGTCAAATGACAGTTCTGTTTTAAGTTCTTTGCGAAATCTCCAAACTACTTCCCACAGGAGATGAATTAATTTGCATTCCCACCAACAGTGTACAAGTGGTCCCTTTTCGCAGCAGCCTCACTAGCAGCTGTTGTTTCTTGACTTTTTAATAACAACCATTCTAACTGGTGTGAGATGATATCTCATTGTGGTTTTGATTTTCATTTCTCTGATGATTAGTGATGTTGAGCATTTTTTCATATGTTTTTTAGTAACATTTTCTTTTCTCTAGCTGGCTGTATTGTAATAATATGGGATATTATACTAACAACATACAAAATATGTGTTAATTGACTGTTTACGTTATTGGTAAGGCTTTCGGTAAACAGTTGGCTATTAGTAGAGATGCTTTCGGAGAATCAAAAGTCCTATGTGGATTTTCTACTGACAGGGGTTGGTCCCCCTAATTCCCACATTGTTCAAGGGTCAACTGTACAAGCAATGAACAGCTGAAAACAGAAATTAAAATATCATTTAAATAGCATCAAAAATATAAAATACTTAGGATATAGCTAACAAAGGATGTGAAAGACTGTACACTGAAAACTACAGAACACTGATGAGGAACCTAAATAAATAGATATGATAATGAATTGGAAAACTCAAAATTGCTAAGATGTTGTTTCTCCCCAGTTGATACATAAATATAATACATTTCCAATCAATATCCTAGCAGGCTTTTTTGTACAAATTAACAAACTTATTCTAAAATCTATAAGGTAATATAGAAGACCTACAATAGCAAAAACAATTTGAAAAAAAATTTAAAAAATTAGAGAGGTAACACTATCTCATTTACAGATTATTACACAGATATAGTAATCAAATATTTCACAAATAGATCAACAGAACAGAATACAAAGTCTAGAAATACATGCACAAATGTATGAACCAAGTTTTTATAAAGGTACAAGGCAATGCTGTGGAGAAAAGGCCACAGTTTTCTACAATTGGATATTCACATGCAAGAAAATGAGAAAAGACCTCCGTGTCTTCCTACCAAAAACCTATAACCCCCATTTTACCTTGATAAAAATATCAGGCAAACACACACTGACATTCTAGAGGAACATTCTACTGGACACCTGATCAGGACTGCTCAAAACTGCCCAAGTCACCAAAAGCAAGGAGAGTCTGAGAAACCATCAAATGCTGGAGAAGACTAAGGAGACATGATGACCACATTTCAGGTGGTATCAAAGGGATACCATAAAAGAACAGGGATATTAGGTAAAAAATAACGAAATGTGAAGTAAACAGACTTTAGTTCATCATAATGTGTCAATACAGAAATGTAAGATTTAACAATGGGGGAAACTGGACACAGAGTAGATGAAAATTCTCCAAACTATTCATTGCAACCTTGCTATAAACCTCTATTTATTCTATAATAAAGTATTTGTAAGAAAAGTCACTTAACAGACTGTGAGAAAATATTTGCAGGGTCCCCATGGATGCACATGGTGAAGGATTCATCAGAGGCATGGTGGGAGCTGGCCAGATTATCTCTGCAAAGGAGCTTAAGGACCCCAGGGTGGGTCTTCCCTTGAAGAGACTATTCTTTCCCATTTAAATGATCTTGACACCCTTGTCAAAATTTGGCACCTAGTCAATTGGCCAAGGATGTATGGGTTTTTTTTTTTAATTCTCCATTCTATTCCATTGTTCTATATGGAAAGATGTTGTTTGAGACAATCGAGAAATTGTTGTTATGGACTGGAAATAAGAATATTAAAGCATTTTTTATTGTCTTAGATATGATCACGATATTGTGGCCATGTAACAAATTTTTCTTTTTTTAATATATTTAATGAACTATTCAGTGATGAAATGACACACCCAGAAATTCTTTTTAAAATGACACAAATTTCTGTTTTAAAGTTTTCTTTAACAAGACAAAAAAAAGGGGGGATAGATTAATTAGTACGGCAAACTAGTGAAAATTATTTAACCTAAGGATGGATAAGTGGGTGCTCATTACACTGAGTCTCTCCTTTGTGTATGTTTGAAAACTTTAAAAATAAAAACTTGAAGTAAACAATTTTAGTAGGAGGCCTTAGTCTTGTCCACCAAAAGCTAACTTTGAATTTGGATCTTGGATTAGAGCAAGAATCTTTGAGCAGTGGTTCGGGAAGCACAGATCTCTTCTTGCTCTGTAACCAGATCCCACCCCCAGTTCTGCAAAGCTGCACCTGCCATGGATGCTATAGATGGAACCTGAACTCTTTATACCTAAAACAAGTCATCAATTCTGTTGGAACTCACCAAAAATTCAAAGACTAGGAGTGACTTCCTCTTTTTCTCATTAAAACAATTTCAATGTTCTGATGAATTATTTACACATCATTAATTTACACACACATTAGAACGCTGAAATGTAAGAGAATGACCACACCAAATGATTTAGTTTAGAAGTCTGTCCCCTCTATATCTCACTTAAATAGCATCAAATCTCACACTGAAATTTGATCTCTGATGTTGGAGATGGGGCCATCTGCCATCCTTGTTAAAGTATTTAATTACATCCCGGGATGTAATTCTGCTGGATAGGCTCAAGGAGATTTTGTTATAGGAAACCTTCAAGAACATCCCCTATGTAGGGTCTGGGACACTGCACACAAACACACCGGCACATATACAAACACATACATGTACAATCACATACTCTATCATCGAGTAATACTTCCTTCTCATCAGGCAGATGAGACACAGACTCTGAATCCTCTTTCCCAGCAAGATGTAACCAACCGCATGCTTTTCCCAGACACACCCTGAACATCTGAAACAAGGAAGGAGCAATATGCAGTGTCCATCGTTCTTGTGATGACAATTTACTTTTGTGGTTGGGTCATATCCAAGACTCTTTACCAGGAAGCCCTCTTTGAGTTCTGAATTCCTGTGAGAATTCTTCGGGCATTACACATATAATCATAAACATACACATTAATATATATGACCCTCCACAACTATAAAAAGTTTCATATATGCATATTCTTTAATAGATACATAAATGCATTTATTTCATATCTCATAAAAGATATTTGTAATTAAAAATGAAACCCTATATGGTTTAATGTTTCATATTTTATAGATATCCCTATCATATCTATCATACCCCTATCATATCACCTATTATAGGTGATATAAAATCATATGTAGGTTTCTATATCTCTAAAGGCCTCTGGGTGACCCTGTGAGCCACAATGAACTCAGTGTGGGCTCAACAAGTGACAGGGCCTCACCCTCGGCCAAAGGGTGTAGGCAACACATGAGTGGTGGCTGGTTCTATAATTAATGGAGGGTAAAGGGGATAAAAGTGCTTAAACAAGTCCAACCTCCTAGATTTCTGCCACTTGCATCTCCTAGCCTGGTCTTGTGAAGATGTAAAAGTCATGCCTAATTTTGAAAAGCCTACAACTGTAGCCTTCCTGCTTTTTAGCAAGAGCATTATTTCACTTTCTCATGAGTTGGCTGGACAGTCACTCTTTCACCAAACATCTGCCAATATATGAGAGAATATGACTGTGTTACAAAGTCTACTGAACCTTGTAAGAAGCCAGAACAATAAATAAAAATGTATACTCCATCCTTAATAAAATAATATACCGAGATTAGACACCAGGTATTTCATCTGCATTTAGCAACTATGCATTTGCCAAATCCTATTCTCATATTTGTCAAGGACTTTTCAATCACAAGTGACTGAATCTTATTCAAACTGGCTACTCTCACAATATTACTTAATAATGTTTTGTAAGTACATGCTCCAGCAAATAAGTGGTATAAATATCAGAGAGGGGAATTATCTGCAGATAACATTTTATATTGTGTATCTAATGTATACTACAAAATAATAAGAAAAGTTACTAATGTGGCTGGATACAAGACACATATGCTAGAGCCAAAACATTAATTACCAATAATCAGTTAAATGTGGAAATGGAAAAATTGCCCTGTATATAATAGTTCCAAAAATAATAAAATGCCAAGGAATAAATGTTAAGAAGAAAGATAAAATGCTTGTATGGTGAAAATTTTATTTATGTATATAAAACAAGATCTGAATAAATAGTGAGACATACATATGCCTGAACAAGAAGACTTAATAGCAAAAATATGCCAATTCTTCTCAATTCATGAAAACTCTGTAACCCTACGTGTAGGACTCTAGTCTACTAAGATAAAAGCAAGAATATGGAAATATATTCATGTAAGGAAAGTATTAAAGAGTATTTAAATGGTCTTACTCATAATGGCAGAAAGGAAAATTCCTAAATCTATTTCAATATTAATTGGTTAAAAAGTACACTGCATCCAATGCAAGTCTTTTAAGCAACTGTTAAAAGAACTTGGTGGTTTGCTGCATCCATACCCCTATCACCTACATTAGGTATTTCTCCTCATGTTATCCCTCCCTAATCCCCCCATCCCTCTGCTATCCCTCCTCTAGCTCCCCCACTCCCCGACAGGCAGGAAATCACCATAGCATGTGTATGCCTATGTAACAAACCTGCACATTCTGCACATGTACCCCAGAACTTAGAGTATAATTAAAAAATACAAAAAAAAAAAAAACTTGTCAAATCAGTATGTATTGGTCTATAAAGGAGGCTATAATTTATTGGCAAGTGAAAAATGCAAGGAAAAGAAGAATGTGTCCAGCCCAATACTAGATTTTAATAAAATAGGTGTGAGAATTTACATTAGATGTTGTGTATACCTAAAACACTATTTTTTTAAATGTAAAAAATGTACACAAAACTGCTAAGAGCATTTCCTCTAGGGGTCACATAGAAAAGTTTCATTTCTTACTGTGGTTTTTGGTACTTTTCTAAATATGGTACTTAAAAATGTACGTTAAATGTGATCTACAATTTTGTAAATTATACATACATATCTTCAAGAAGGGCAGTTTTATAAAATTTGCTAACTGACAAGTACATGCATTGGCACAAAATAATTTGTTAAACTGGAAAGAAATTTGAAATGCAACAAACAAAAATGTCAAATCGCAGCTCATTAAGGAATCCTTTTTAAATTTCCAAAGCCAGATTATTCTTACTATGCTAAAGGAGAGATGACTTACCATAGGCAATGGCTTTCCCTGTTTGCAGTTGATACCACCAGTGAAGACCATGTTGGGCATCACAGGTCTGGGATCGTCCAAAACAAAGTCCGTTCGCAACAGCCAAATTGATGTGTGGCTGTAGAGATCATATGCCGTGACAGGTGTTTGAAGAATTTCAGAGGCTACTTCTAGGGCAGTTTTGAAAAAATGGTGGCAAAATAAATGCTCCTCCAAGTGCATGATGTGGTTCCGTACTCTCTCCTTGAAAGTCATGGCATCTGAGAACCCTAAGAGACCTCTGGGGACATAGGAAAGAGGAGCAGGGCACTGTGCACCTTCTTCAAGATAATGGCAAAATATTCCCCTGGTAAAGACCACAGAGGGAAGGGAGAAATATTTGGCAACAATTAAGCCACAGGTATCAAAAGGATCCAGAAACACTGCATCAAAAGAAGTCTCCTTTAAGTATTCTACTAGTTTTTTGTCCTTAAACAAACTCTTACAGTGTGAAAAAAATAAGTCAAAAATGCCACCGTATGGACTCACTAAGAGAGAAAATATACTTTGTATTTGCCCTTTCCATTGATCATTGGCAAATGCCATGAACTGTCGGTCCTGATCCTCCAGAGAGTATGAGGTTGAGTAAGTCTTCACTGTGCAATTCAGGTTTCTTCCCAGTTGCCAACTCACCTCTGGCCTGACTACGACCACCTCATGCCCCCTGAGGATGAGTTTCTCCACCACCGACTGCATGGTGAACCAGTGGCTCCCATCCATGGGCACTACCAGCAGCTTGCCTGCATGGGCAAAGCCATAGGTTAGCAGCAAAAGCACACATACGGAAAGGGGGCCAGTCCACCCTGCAGGAGCCATCAGGGAACTTCAGCCCAGAGCCAGCAGCTGGGATTCTAAGCTCCTATAATACAGTAGGCGGAAGAATTACAGGCACAAAACCTGACCCTAATAGAGGGCGTGTATTTATCCCTTCAGAAAAAAAAATCACTCTCACTGACAATGATTTACTCATAAGAACAAGAATACATGAGTAGCCTTTGCTGAGATACCAACTTGTATGTTTTCCAGACAAGAATAGCTAATGGTCTTTGCCTTGGGGACAGATTATGCCCTGTGCTGCAATGTGAGTTTAGACACAGAATTATTAAGCAATGTTTTTGAACTCTGAAGATTCCAAAAGATAAAGTACATTTGAATAAATCTAATGTATTTGGAATTTGCAATATTTAGCAAATATTGTACAAGACGGCCTCAACAAGAACACTTTTTCTGGATTGGTTCTATCACTGCTTTGTCCCTGAAGTCAGGAAATATCTTGCCAAAGCAATATTTAGATTTTGCCTTTTGGCAACCAAAAACTCTGTCCAGAAAGGAATTGGCATCGCATGTTCCAAGGAAAGACAACAAGGCCCTCAGCACTGACCTTCTAACTGGCAAGAAATCAGGGCTCACCTGCATCTCTGCAATGCATAAGCATTGCTGCTTGTCTTCTTCTGTATCCAAACCCCGAGAGGCCTCTGAAATGCTGAAACAAGATGGACAACCCTACCTCCATGGACCATACCAGGGACTTGATGGAAAGTGACTGTCACGTATTTTAAATGGTTTCCCTCAGATATGTTGCATGCAATGGGAGGGTCGGCGGCCCAGTCACTGCATGAGCACTCTGCTGAGCTGCCTCTATGTGATCCCTCTACTTCCACATTCTAGACACGCCATCACTCCACTGCCCTCCTTCAGGAAAAGATGTACTTGTCTCCCTCAGTCTGCTGAGCACTCCTTGAGGCCAGAGGTGATGTCATCCTCATTTTTCACCCTCCTTTCTCAGTACCCATGCCATGGTTTTGACACAGTTTGTATCTTTGTATGTTTGGGTTTACAAATAGGTCCGCCCTCTTCTATAAACATGCTAGCGCCCAAGCCTTGAAGGGAAAAGATCAACACCCGCTGCCAGTTTTATTGTTGTACAAGAAGGCCTCAACAAGAACACTTTTTCTGGATTGGTTCTATCACTGCTTTGTCCCTGAAGTCAGGAAATATCTTGCCAGTAAGAAACTGTCTTTCAAAGTTCTTTTGATTTTGGACAATGCCCCTAGCCACCCAGAACCCACAAGTTCAACACCTAAGGTGTCAAAGCGGTCTACCTGCCAGCAAACCCAGGATTTCTAATTCCGCAACAAAAGAAGGGGAATATAGTCTTTCAAGATATGGATCTGGGAAATTTCAAGAAGGAATAGACACCACACCAGAGAAATCAACAGAAGATGACTTGATGGAGATGAATGCTTTTGAATCAGTACCAGGTACTAAAGAAGATGTACAAGAAACAGTGCCAGAAAACAAATTGCTATTAAACAATCTGGTAAAGGCTTCTGATTATTAAGACTACTTTTGACTTCTTTTACAACATGGACCCTTCCATGAATGGGCACTGAAATGAAAGCAAATGGGGAAGAAGGATTAGTTTTGTATAAAAACATTTTCAAAGATTGAAAAGGCAGCCAGGTACAGTGGCTCATGTCTGTAATTTCAGCACTTTGGGAGGCTAAGGCAGGTACATCACCTGAGGTTAGGAGGTCGAGACCAGCCTGGTCAACATGGTAAACTCCATCTCTACTAAAAATACAAAAATCAGCTAGGTGTGGTGGCACATGCCTGTAATCCCAGCTACTCGGGAGGCTGAGGCAGGAGAATCGCTTGAACCCGGGAGGCAGAGGTTTCAGTGAGCTGAGATCGCACCACTGCAATCCACCTTGGGCGACAGAGCAAGACTTAGTCTCAAACAAAACAAAAACAACAAGAACAAAAGGTCAAACAGTAATTATGATGTAATTCTGTAAAGTTACACCAAGTGTGCCTGACTCTCCTCCTTTGTTCTCCTCTACTCTTCCCCATCTGCCATCCCTGAAGCAGCAAGACCCACCCTCCTCTTCCTCCTTCTCAGTCTACTTAATGGGGGACAATCAAGAGGAAAACATTTATGATAATTCACTCCCACTTAATGAATACTTAATTTTCCTTCCTCAATATTTTCTTAATAATGTTTTCTTTTCTCTAGCTGACTTTACTGTAAAAATACGGTATATAACACATACAATGTGCCAAATATGTGTTAAGCAACTGTTTCTGTTATTGGTAAGGCTTCTAGTATACTGTAGGCTATTAATAGTTGAATTTTTAGGAACTCAAAAATTCTATGCAGGCCAGGTACAGTGTCTCACACCTATAGTTCCATCACTTTGGGAGGCCGAGGTGGGCAGATCACTTCAGGCCAGGAATTGGAGACCAACCTTGGCCAACATAACAAAACCCTATCTTGACTAAAAACACAAAAAATTAGCCGAGCATGGTGGCACACACCTATAATCCCAGCTACCCTGGAGGCTGAGGCAGGAGAATTGCTTGAACCCAGGAGGCAGAGGTTGTACTGAGTTGAGATCGCACCATTGCACTCTAGCCTGGGCAACAGAGCACAACTCTGTCATGTCAACAAAAAAAAAAAATTAAAAAAAAAAATCCTTCCATGCAAATTTCCTACTGCTCAGGAGTTGATACCTCAATCCTCACATTGTTCAAGGGTCGAATGTACTAGCAATGAACAATTGGAAATTGAAATGAAAAAATACCGCCTAAATTACATCAAAAATATGAAATACTAAGAGATAAATCTGACAAAAGATGTGAAACACCCTACACTGAAAATGACAAAACATTGGTGAGAGACCTGAATAGATATGTTCATGAATCAAAGAACTCAAAATTGTTAAAATGTCATTTTCGTTAGTTTATCTATAAATCTAATACAACCCCAACCTAAATTCTAGGATATCTTTTTGTGCAAATTGGCAAACTGATTCTAAAATTCATATGGAAATTTAAAAGACCTACAATAGCAAAAATTACTTTAAAAAAAAAACAGAAAAAAATGGTTTCATCTCTATGGCTGTCACAGGTGAGCAGCTTTGACAGAAGAGCTGCTGGAGCTCCTGCTTGAACATGTGAGTCTCAGACCCTGGAGGTGAAAATGCTTATATGAAATACTGTACGTTGGGAGAGGATTCAAGATGGCCGATTAGGAGCAGCTCAGGATTGCAGCTCCCAGCAAAACATGGAGGGTGAGTGGATGCCGCATATCCAGACAGACTTTTATTGCCCACAGACCAGGAGATTCCCAGGTGGAGGACCCCCCCGGGTCGCCAGCACAGCTGTTTTGGCCGGTGTGGCGCGTCTCCGCACAAAATACACAGGTCCAGGTGCTCCTGGGAGACAGGTTCACCCATTCAACTGATAAAAAGGGGACTGAAACAGGGAGCCAGGCCAGGAGATTCCCAGGCAAAAAAGTGCCATGAATCTCTGCACAGCTGTTTCAGTCAGCACAGTGGGTCACAGCACAGGAAATCACACAGATCCTGGCGCCTTTTCAACAGGCAACTGGAACGCTGCGGAGACAGAGTCGCCCATTCAACTGATAAAAAGTGGACTGAAACAGGAAGCCAGGCCAGGAGATTACTGGGCGAAAAAGCGCCACGAGCCCCCAGTGCAGCTGTTTCAGCCAGCTCAGTGGGTCTCTGCATAAAATCTCACACAAATCTGGGCATTTTTTCAACTGGCAACTACAATGCCTGGGAGGGAGAGTCACCCTATCAACTGAAAAAAAAAGGGGGTCTGAGGCAGGGAGCCAGGTGATCAGGCTTGGCCAGTCCCACCCCCACAAAAAACAGCAATCTGAAACGCTCTGGATTGAGAGTTTCACAGCAAGCACAGCTGAACCCAGGATGGTCCAGCTCTGTGGGGGAGGGGCGTCCGCCATTACCGAGGCAGTCCACCACTACCGAGGTAGTCCGCCATTGCTGAGGCAGTCCGCCTTTGCTGAGGCAGTCCACCATTACAGAGAGAGTCTGCCAGTACAGAGGCAGGCTGCCATTCCTGAGACAGTTCTAACTATACCCCTATAAACAGGACTGCCGGGAAGTTCACACGGCAGTTGGGTGGAGCCCACAGCAGCTCAGCAAAGCCTGTGCAGGCAGACTGTGACTAGACTGCCTCCTTGCTGGGCAGGGCAGCCCTGAAAAAAAGGAGAAGCATGACAGAAACTTATAAATAAAGCCCTAACTCTGCTGGGACAGAGCACCTTGGGGAAAAAGAAAGGCGTTTATGAGTTCTGCTATAGCAGACTTAAATGTACCCACCCAGCAGCTCTGAATGGAACAATAGAGCTCACAGCTCAGCATTTGAGCTCTTATAAAGAACAGACTGTCTCCTCAAGCAGCTCCCTGACCCCATATATCCAAAGAAGTCACCTCATAAAGGAGAGCTCAGACTGACATCTGGCAGGTATCCTTCTGGGACAAAGACAGCAGAAGAAGAAACTGGCAGCAACCCTTACTGTTCTGCAGCTGCTACAGGTGATCCCCAGGCAAGCAGAGCCTGGAGTGCACCTCAGCAGTCCTACAGCAGAGGGACCTGTTAGAAGGAAAACTAAGAAACGGAAAGAAATAACTTCATCATTAACAAACTGGAAGTCCACTTAGAGACCCCATCTGAAAGTCAACAACTACAAGATGACAGGTAGATAAATCTACAAAGATGGGAAGAAACCAGCACAAAAAGGATGAAAACACCCAAAACCAGAACGCCTCTCCTTCTCCAAGGGATCACAACTCCTTACCAGCAAGGGAACAAGGCTGGATGGAGAAAGAGTCCAATGAATTGAGAGAAACAGGCTTCCGAAGGTGGGTAATGAGAAACTTCTCTGAGCTAAAAGAACATGTTCTAACCCAATGCAAAGAAACTAAGAATCTTGAAAAAAGGTTTGAAAAAATGCTAACGAGAATAAACAGCTTAGAGAGGAATATAAGTGAATTGATGGAGCTGAAACACACAACATGAGACCTTCGCGAAGCATACACAGTTTCAACAGCTGAATTGACCAAGCAGAAGAAAGGATATCAGAGGTTGAAGATCAACTTGATGAAATAAAATGAGAAGGCAAGATTAGCAAAAAAAGGGTAAAAAGAAATGAACAAAGTTTCCAAGAAATATGGGACTATGTGAAAAGACCTAATCTACTT